ATCCATTTCAGTTAATGAAGAAAAGCTGTTCGAGTGAAGATGGTTCTTGGCTTTCTTTTCCAATTCCCCATCAGAAAGGCAGGCGTCCTTGAAGAAACCCGGATAGACAGCGAGACCTCAGGCCGCCTTGTCCCACCCTCCCCAGTGGGTAGGATCTGATTCTTCGGTGCCCCCCCAGGCAAGTCCTCCAGGTTTATTTTGGGCTGGGCTGAGAGCTGATTCAGGGCAAATTTTCAAGTAGTAATTTCTCGAACCCAAGCACTGTCAAGGGTCTGAAGGAGTAGAAATGCCAAGTGTTGCTCTGGGGGGCTTGAGGGCCTTGGCCCAACTTCAACCCCCTCCCAACCGAAGCCACCCTAGATCAACACACGGTGTTTGCTGTGCAAGCTGAACTCTGAGGCAAGTCCCAGCCCTGAGGCCTCAGCCGAGCTGACCTTTTGCCTTGGCCGAGGGAAGCTTCCAGCTTCCTCCTCGGGTCTCAGCTCTGCTCACTGACCCCCAGAGCCCGGTGGCCAGAATCCCTCAGATGCGGAGAGGTGGGTGGGAGAGACAGCAGGTGATCTGCACTCACGTTGTCCTCACTAAGTAATCAGCCAGTTGGAATTCTAACAACCACACTACTTCGTGTTTGCCGTTAAATATCCAGGGAAATACGGTTTAGCAGCCGTTTTCCACTTAATCTTCTAGCACCTCAGGCCTTCAGAGACCTCCCGGGTGGGTTCTCAGCTCTGGCCTCTGCCCCTCGCTCAGTCTGCATCTGGCCCTTGACCGTGTGGGAAGGGCTCCAGGTGCTGCCCCACCCCCCGCCCCAGCTTCCCTCGCGCCTTTCCCTGCTCAGTTCAAATTCCATCCCAGGGCTAGATGACATCTCCTCTCCCTCATGCTGGCAGTTTGGTCCCCTTTCTCCGCTCTACTTTCCACGGTGAGTCCGCCTCCAGGCGAGGCCTCCATCCTCTGGCTGGGTATCTGCTCCAGCCCTGAGCCCCACCATTCAACGCTGGGGACACCAACAGGACTCAGACACTGCCCCTGCTTCTCTCACGAGGAGAGGCAGACGTGGACGTGGCTGCTTTCTAAAAGCAGCACCAAGTCTGTGCCCGAGGGGCGTCCCACGTGCTTTGGTGTTGCAGGTGGCGGCGGGGGTTGCATTTGAGTTCATCTCGAAGGATGTTTCGAAGACACCAGAGCGGTCCCCACAGAGGGGACAGCCCAGGCAGACACACGCAGCGTCTCCCACACACTCTAGGCAGTCCTGGGGTGGGGACGCCCGGTGGGGAGGGTGGGAGGGACAGAGGAAGGTAGGTGGGGCCGGACCACAAGGGGCTTTTTGCTCCCTGCCAAGCGCTGGGCAGTAGAGAAGCCAGGGAGGAGTTTTTAACAGGGAATAAACCGCGTCAACGTGCTGCCTACGAGGCTGACTGGTGGACAGAGGTGCAGGGCTGCGACTGGAAAACTCGAGGCGGAGAGAAGAGGTCGGAAGCAGTCGCCACAGACTCTGCCAGGCGGATGACTGCCCCGACACGCCTGGCTGGAGGAAGGAGGGGCAGAGAGACCTTTAGGAGGCAAAAGAAACAGAGCTTGGTGACCAGCTGACGTGGAGTTCAGGGAGCAGGGACAGTAGGGGAACGAACACCCTAGACCGACCTTGAGTTTCAGACTTGGGTAGTCGAAGCCCTGGCCGAGAGGACTAGTTGGGAAGATGGGGACGTGGGGAGAGAGGCCCTGTTCCCACGCTATGCCCTGGGCCCACAGATAGAGGGGAGGGGCATCTGATCCCCTTCCTCTGGTCCCCAGCCTCCCCCACCCCCTAATCCTGGAGAAGCTGTGAGCGTCGTCTCTTGGGAAGATGAAGCGGCTTCTAAGGAAGATTCTAGGGTGCGACAGGACATACAGGGGCGATTAAGCATTTCTCCCGTGCTTCTTAGGGCGTCAGCCTTCTTCCCACAGGTGGAGGCACTGTCCTTCGAAACCTCTGAGTGAGTCTAACTCTCGGGGGTATCTGGGGACTGGTCCCCATCTGCTTTGAGAAGGTCGCATCGTTCTGACACTGCCATCTTTTCCTGTGCCATCCCCACTTCAGCCACTAGATGGAACCAGACTCCAGCGGTTGGGGGAGGAGGGGCGGCTGAAGGGGAGGGGGAGGTTAAGGCTGCCCCTGAAGGACCTGCCTCTTGAGGGGTGTCCACTTCACCTAATCCTGATTTAATTTAACTCTTCTAGGATGCATTCCTATTTGGGATGTATTATTCTTGTAAATGGATTTTTTTTTATATCTACATCTATGAAGAATATATTCCTGAATACACAGAATTCTCATAAATGTATTTTTCTTATTGCCCCAGCCTCTGCTCTCTGCTACTTAGTCTTCAGAAAAAAAACAGCGAGAACTGAGGCGGAGACCGATTATACATTAAGATATAAAAACATGAGCATCGGTCCAGTTAGATCGAATGGGTGGTTCGGCCCATTGATGTATCTGCAGAGCAGCCAGCTCCCGGGCGAGGACAGAGAGGGGTGGCTGGCTGCAGGCAGCACATCCATGTGCCCCACGCCACGGGCACCCTTGCACCTGCAGCCATCACTTCCTCTCTGCTGCACCAGCCCCAGGATGGCTCTGCTTGCAGGGAGGGCTGGCGGGACAGCACGACCTGGCAGCAGTCAGCGGTACCTGGAGACCCAAAGGAAGGGCAAACTGGAACCCTGGGCGTGGAAGGGAACTCCATATCCAGCACCTGAGCCCGACGGTGGGGGGAGAGAGACCAGCGCGATGCAAGAAGGGGCCCAAGTCCGCAGAGGAGGCGACAATGTCAGGGAGGCTGAACACGAAGGCTGACTGTGTGTGGGGCCCGGGCCTGGCCTACGCGGGTCCTGGAGTCCAGCCCATCCTGGGCTTCCCCTGAGCCAGGCTCTGGGGGGATCAAGGGCAAATGAGCCTCTGGCCTCAGAAACCACAGTCCTCTTAGAGGCTTCTGATAAACAGGAGGATAAAATGTACTTTCGTCCCATGCTTTGCATTTTTCGAACCCAGGAATTGAGGTGAGAAGGAGCCATGGGGCCAGTAGCCTGGCATTTAGGGGACACTCCTGGTCCCTGGGTTCAGACACAGCCTCAGGGCCCCACCAGCCCAGCCCTAAGATGGACTTCCTCACCCACACGTGGTGGCCTGGTGGTATCAAGTATTTGACACTGAACCAAAAAAGGGACTAAATTGCAGAAACGGGAGCTGCAGCCCACCCAGGTGCCACCGACGGAGACTTCCCACCCAGATGTCACCGACGGAATCTTCCCACCCAGATGTCACCGACAGAGTCTTCCCACCCAGATGCCACCGACGGAGTCTTCCCACCGAGATGCCACCGACGGAGTCTTCCACCCAGGTGCCACCGACGGAGTCTTCCCACCCAGACGCCAGCTCATCGGGAGCTGCAGCCCACCCAGGTGCCACCGACGGAGACTTCCCACCCAGATGTCACCGACGGAATCTTCCCACCCAGATGTCACCGACAGAGTCTTCCCACCCAGATGCCACCGACGGAGTCTTCCCACCGAGATGCCACCGACGGAGTCTTCCACCCAGATGCCACCGACGGAGTCTTCCCACCCAGATGCCAGCTCAGGGCCCGCTTCCTGCCCCCACCCATCAACCTGTCCGAGCCGCGCCCTTCCAGCCCAGAGCCCACTCAGCGGCCTTGCGCCCTTTATTCAAAGAGACCCTGAATCCACTTTCTCCAAAAACTTGCCCTAGCTGGGAGGAAGAACGCCAGTCCCCGCTCCAGCGGAACCCAGCCGGCACGGCCCCAAGTCCCCACACAGCCGCTCGCCCCTGTTCATGCTTTTATTCTGCAGCCGGCAGTCCAGTGTGCACCACGCTGTCCTGGGGAAACCTCGGGCAGGGCTGGGGTGAGAGGTGTTTAGTGGAACAAGTGCTTTGGATGAGAATGGAGGCCAGTAACGCAGCTCCCAGGCCGACTGCTGTGACCTTCAGAAGCCCTTGCTTTCCAGAGATGCCTTATCCAGGTGGGAGCCTGTGCAGCCTGGCTGTGGTCCCTGGTGGCAGCTGCCTCCTTGCGTCTGAAGTCAATGCCCCTGCCAGCTGCTTCCCCTCCCTCCTAACCCCCTCCCGCATCTGGGCAGAGGCCTGCCACCTCATGGTCACAGACCTGCTCTCAGGGGCTGATCCTTGGAAAGGAGCTGTTTAAAGTAACTCCCTAATTGCCTCCTAAAATGTGAACAGCCAAATAAATCAAATCCCGCCATTTGCTTTTATGGGGAGGCAGCGGGAACTGGAGGCATCCCTGGTTAACCGATAAAGTGTGAGAGGAGAGGCCTTGGAGGCCTGGTGCGCAGGCCACTGTCTGAAGGCCGACTGACCTCCTCGGCCCCTCACACCTGTCCTGAGGTCACTGCCCACTACCCTCTGGGAAGAGCCGACTCCGGGCCTGTGGCCTAAAAATAAGGAGCTGGTCAGTCAAAGGAAATTGAGCAGATCCCAGGCTGATCCTCACAGGCCTCTCAAAAGGGCCTGAGGCTCAGGCCATGACTTGTGACTCCAAGGAGTACGCCCAAAGGTCCGTGCTGCAGGCGACAGATCCGGGCAGAAGAGCACATGCAGGCGGGTGAGAGGCAGGGCCCTGGGGAGGGACAGGTCACCTCTGCGGAGAGGAAGGGCATGTGAGGTGGGGAGAAGGGAAAGGAACACCCTGTTACTTACAACCCCTCGGCAGCCCGAGCAGGAAAGAGAACCAGGCAGGCAAGCTAGCTCCAGGCTGCCACCCCTTGGGCCAGCCTGGTGGACCTCGCCACCCGGTGGTGTGTGTCAGCACGCGTTCACGCGAGTGTTCTGTGGAGGAGGGATCGGAGTAGGAGGTGTGGGGAGGGGGACAGGGGCAGCTGGGGGTGTGGGTAGCTGGGCCACACGGCAGAAATAAAACACGAGTTCAGAAGAGACCAAGCTGTGTTCGGGAAGAGGCCTGGCAGGTGTCCTGAGACCAGACGAGCTTCTAAAAGTGGATGCTCTTCAAGTCCGCGGAGCAGCGGTACCTGCCGTCCGGGCGCCTGGCGCACAGCAGGCTGGGCAGGCAGGGACAGCTGTGGTGCTGGCGTTTTCTGAAGAAAGGGATCTGGGGAGAGAGGAGGAGAAGGGTGACACCTTTGCCAAGGAGCCTCTGGTGCTCCCAGCCCTGGCCAGTGTCCCACAGCCCGCACCCCAGCACAATAACGGCTATTACAGAGGAGGAAACTGAGGCCCAGCGTGGCTAAGCAACATGCCGAGAGCACACAGCGAATCTGTGGAGGAGCCAGGATTTGAATGCGGGCGATCTGGCTCTCGAGACTATGTGATCAGCCACAACACCGTGCTGTCCGCCACCAACCTTAAAACCCCGCAGGCCCCAAAACTGCCTGCTCCTTGCTGACCCAGCCCACGCACGCACACGCACACACGCACGCACACACATTCCTTGACTGAATATCACTAGTAACTAATCCCTTATGCGCTCAGTACCATGCGGGGTGCCGGGGGAGCAGCTGGACAGGACAGATGCTCTGCCCAATGACTCACACCAGGGGAGTCTGAACCACTGGGGTTACCTCACAGGAGCTTGAATAGGGGCAGTTAGGAGCATAGATAGTGTCAGGCTGCCTGGGTTGCCCAGTGGTGTGACGATTGGCAAGTTATTTAGCGTCTCTGGGCCTCAGCGTTATCATCTGTATAATGGGTTCATAATAACGCCTTTGGAAAAAAACAAAACAAAACAAAACAGTACTTCCAGTCCCGGCCCCGTCCAGTTGGCTGTGTGCAGTACCTTGTGGCTGCCAGGGTGACACTCCTGTCCTGCCCGCCCCAGCGGGGTGCACATCCGCACACCGCGCAGCCACAGGCTGACGGCACAGCAGGTGCCTGTCCCACACTGGACATCCCGCTCACAGGCCTGCGGGGGGACATGAAGGGGCCATTAGTGCCACCCAAGAGAAACCAGAACCGAAAAGTAATCCAAAAACCCCTGGGTGGGGGCTGAGAGCAGCACCCCCCACCTCCAGCCTCACAGGATACCTTGGGCCTTGCGTTATTGGCCCTGTTCCCCTCACAGTGGAGGCTCACGGCTCAGGGGGCATCAGAGGACAATCCAGCCCCCTCCGAGCTCCTTGAGGCCCCTCGGTCGGTCGGTTGGAAGGCTGCCTTCCTCTCCTGACAAGTCTGGACATCAGGAGACACAGCTTTTCTGGCGCCAGTAGATGCTCAGTGGATGCTGTGGGTTGGAAGGCTGCCTTCCTCTCCTGACAAGTCTGGCGCCAGTAGATGCTCAGTGGATGCTGTAGGGGAGGGGCCCCGACGGCCTGAGTCCCCAGGTGGCCAGTGCCGAGTTTCCTTGGACCAGGATTCTCCCCACGGCCCCAGCAGCACCAGGCGTTGGTGACTCCCCTCCCCACGTGGCCCCACACGCACCCTCGCCGGAAGCCCAGCCTCATCTGAGGTGCCGGCACCCAGCAAACAGGTGTGTCCCGTCTCTACAGCTTCTCTGGGTACCTGACTGATCCCCAGATAGGGACGGACCCCTCTGAGTTGGGCTCCCAAAAAGGGCTGATGGCCCTGCCTGGTTTCTGGAAGGGGCCATTCGTAAAGAAGGCCACACAAGCCCACTTCAGACAAAATCCCAAATAGGGGAAACAGACCTCTCTGAACTGCTCCAGACTCAGCTGGGGCCCGGATGGAAAAGCTCCCCACCGGTCCACTTCCGGAGAAGCTTTTCAGCTTTCCAGGGCTGAAGTTCAGGGCTGGGTTTTAGTCATGGGCCATGGAGCCCCCTCTGCTATCTGCCTGGGGGGTGGAGGGAACTGGAAGCTTCCAACTGGCTTGGCCCCAGGAGGAAAGTGGAGAATGCAGGGCTGCTTGTCACGCAGAGAAGCCGCAGGTGGCAGTCACCTGGCCATGCCGGTCTCCGGCCCATGGAGGGCACACCTCACACACCAGCCTGAAAGCCCAGGGTCAGGGCCAAGTGGACCCCTCTGAGTCTCCTCCCACAAAGGCCAGGCATCACTGTCCACTCTGGAAGGGGGCCCACCCAGGCCTGAATTTGGGACGGTGACAGTCCAGGGAGCTGGGAGTGTGGAGATGGTGGGACCAGGCCTCTTCCTGGACTCAGAGGCGGCAGCAGACGGAGACTGGAGCCTGGCCGGGAGGCCCCCACTTGCCCTCGGCGCCGAGTTCTAACCACCGGTCAGCGGTCAGCGTGTCGCGTGGGTCAGGCATTTCCTCCCACCCTCGCTTTCTCCCTCTGTGCTTTTCCAAGAGTCAGCGGGAAGGGTTTACGAGGAAGACGTTTGCCCACCTCCTTCAGACCTGCCACCTAGTCAGATGCCTGAGCTCACATGGCGAGGTGACCAGGCATCGTGGTCGCCCCCCAGCCCCCACGCCTCCCGGCGGGGCCACCTCGCTGCTCTCCTCTGTCCCACCCTCCCGGGTCTTCAAGCCACAGAGGAAGAGGACAGCCCTCGGGGTTTATCTTCATTGGGTATAATTCTGCCCAAACAATTTTATTTATGCTCTGGGTCTCAAAAGCATTGACGTGCCTTCAACATTTCTTCTTTGAAACTCAGTCTCTGTCCTTTAAAAGGGAGAAGAAAGGCGTTTTCCTTTCTGTGAACATTGCAACTAATCTGATTCCAGGAATCGTTGGCATTTCTCTACGTTTTCATTCTCTAGTGAAAGAGTTGGAGGAGGTCGAAGTGAAGATCCCTCTCTCCCACCCACCTCTTTTCTTCCCCCTAGGGTCTTTCATCTAGAAAGCTCTCAGGTAAACTATTACTCTCTGTGGTAATGAGAATGGTTTGAAGGTGGCTCCAGAGAAAGCCAGACCGAGAGAGAGCCATAACCTGAGCGTCGGGGACACCGAAGTGTGCAGAGCTCGTGTGTCAGAACCTCTGCTGTGAGTCTGGACCTCTGCTTGTCACCCGACACTTGCTTTTGGGTGCACTCAGCCAAATGGTCGTGTCGCCCGTATTCCTAACAGCACTGGGCACGGAGTGAAAACACATAAACGGTAAGGGAAACAAAGAGCTTCAGGACAGCCTTTCTTCAGAGCACAGAGAGCAGAGCTTAAGCGTATCCAACAGACACTAATAAGGTCTTTCATGAAGCCGAAGAGCTGTAAATTAAACTTGATGCATGGACCAGACTATAGAGGAAAACCCAAATTTATACAAAAGATAAATTAGAAGATGCTAATCCATTTTATAATGGGATTCTTTATTACGCAATAGGAATCTTCATTTCACAAAAGGTCTAAACTTCACATTTTTCAACGCCCTTCGAATGCATCAAAAGCAAGATGTGATTTATACACGGCTTCTCACTTCCCATTGAGTGGAGTGAGGTCTCTTGTGAAATCTTGTGAAATGCCTCTGAAGTGCGGTCTGATGGCTGACCCCCGCTTCCCTTCAGTCCCTGGCTCCCTCCCATGCAGACCCTGAGGTCTTCCCGAAACCCAGGGCGTGGGGACCTGGTAGACAACTCACCCCCGTGATCACCGCACCATCGGACACGGTCACCAGGAGGAGGACGATGGAGACTTGCATGGCCCCCCTCATGGTCACTTGAAAGCCAAACTCCATCCGCTCCGCTGCCTCTCGCCTTGTCCTGCAGCCTCGTGCCTGCCGGCTAGGAAGGCCGGGCTCTCCGGCCCCTCCCTCTCCCCGGGCTTATACGGTCTGATCCAGGCCGCCTGTGGACTCTTGTCTCCTCTCTTCCCTTCCCCGTCACCAGTGTTATTCAGATGATCTCAGACACGAAGATGAGACCTGAATCCCTAACGACATCAAATCACCACCAAAACCAATAAAACCAAACTCGTCGGTGGGGGGGGGTGCGGCTTTGACAGTTGCTCTAACTCTCCCAAGGACACGCTGATCCTGGCGATTACATACATCGCATCCACCCTTTCATCCTCTCTGCCTCTGGGGCATCCTCAGTCTGCTTGGAGCAGGGGCAGGACTTTGGTAATGAATTAAGGGATTTACAACGTAGCTGGTTATCCTCCCCCCACACCCCCCCCACCCCCACACTAAACCACATAATGTGCAGGACCATCGTTCCCAAGCCAACAGGAATGACCTGGGCAGTTACAGTCAGCTCAGCATGGAGTGGGCAGCTGAGAGGACATGGCCGTGTCCCTGGTCCTCTGGAAGGCTGAAGTGTCGACGGGAGACATGAGGCAGAAAACAAGGCCAGGCGGGTGTTCCTGAGACGCACACATAAGGACTTGCTCTCCAGCAGGCTCAGGACAAAGACCAAGCACCGCTTGGTACAGGAACCGAAGGGCAGAAGACGAGCCCGCCACGGCCCCTGCAGAGACGCGTGCTTGGGCTGGGGTGCAGCCGGAAAGTCCCCGGAGCCATGCTGCTGCCTTCCTGTTTCGGGGTGAACACGAGAATGGGTGAACAGACACCATGGGCTCAGATGCCAGTCTGGTGGGAGGTTGACGCTGGACGTGGGCCCTCCTGCTGGGAGGGGAGACCCTGGTCCCCACCCTCCCAGGACCCTGGGTCAGACCTGACTTCTCTCCGCAGCGACAAAGGCCAGGCTACTAGGTGCTGCACACACAGATAAACACATAAACATTTCTACAGTCAAAGCTTCGGGAAACACTTATTACTCAAGGTCAGCCAGCTTTTTCACTGCAGGACTTCTCAGGGCCTTTCATATACTAATAAGCATTTGAAACACCAAGTAGGGAAACACGTTTGTAGTATCTCCCAAACAGGGTCATCTACGAAATGCTTTTTTCTTGGCGTCTCTCAGGGGAAGAGGGTTCCCACATAGAAACGTCGATTCAAGAGTGCAGAGAGAGCCGACTGGAGCAGATGCAGACACTGTGACTTATGACCCCAGGTGGCATTCGTTTCATGACCCTGAGGACAGTGTTGATGTCTCTCAGCCTCAGATTCCTCGTCTATAACGTGGAGGAAATAGCAGCCCTGCATCGTCAGGTTTTGTGAATACTCTCCCGTTTACTTATTTACTCACTGACTGTATATTTATTTATGACTGCTATATCAGAGGCACCATTCTTGGTCCTAGAAATCGAGCAGTGAGCAAAACAAAGCCCCTGCCTTCATGTAACTTTGATTCTAGTCACAAGGACAGACAATAGGTAAACAAATTGATTCGTGATAAAATGGCTAGGTGTGCCGAGTGCTATTAAAAAAGAAGGCAGCGAAGACTGACAACAGAGTGTGACAGGCCAGTTATTTTAGATGGAGTGAGGGTCTCTCTGAAAAGACACTGGTAAAGGCCTAAAAAAGTGGAGGAGTGAGCTGGGCAGAGCCGGGGGAAGAACCCTGTGGAGGTGCAAAGGCCCTGGGGAGGTGCAGTTCCAGGAGCTGCAGGGAGTCTGGCGGGCGGGGCGGCGGGGAGAGGGGGGAGGGGATGTGGTGAGGGCGGGAGCCGGGGGCCATGCCCTGCCAGCCTTACGGGACATGGTGGGGGCCTGACTGCAGTGATGGGAAGCCTTGGAGGGTTCGGGGCAGGACAGGGGCAGGATATGATTCACACTTTGAAAGCGTCTCTCTGGCCACATGGGGAGAAAAGTGAGATGATGCGTGTGAAGTGCTTGGTACAGCGGCTGGCACGTAGCAGCATTTGCTAACTATTGGCATTTTTTATCAAAAACAAAAACAAAAAACAAAAAAAAAGCTGAGCCTGTCTGCCTTAATATAAAATTCTCCTGCAAAGCGAGAATCAAAATAATAAGCCTGTGCAGCCCACCTGAACACTGTGGCAGAGCCAGGCACACAGCGGGGGAACCAAAGGACCACTCCCACCTGTCAGGAACTTAGGTGACCGAGGGAGGGTGCTCAGAGGAGCTCACAGAAGCAGCCCTGTGGGTGCCCTGCACAGACAGCCCCACCTCACCCAGGGCGCCTTCCAAGAGGCAATGGTAGCTGATGGCCGATTGTCCGGCTGGCACCCCCGCTCCCCTCCACCTCCCGTTCTCACCCCTCCCTTGTCAGCATCTCCCCACAACACGCAACACACAAAACGAATTCTCTCACACGACGGCGTGAATCATGGGTACAAGAAATACTGTTGCAAACAGAACCAATAACACCGATTGAAAGCGTTTTCTTAAACACCGGTGTTTGAGGACATGCCAGTTTAATTAGAAGAAGGCGAGGGATAGATGGTGGCTTGGTGACAATCCCAGAAGAGATTTTGGAGAGATTTAGGGCTTCTTTACCCAATAACTCAATTAAGGGGGCATTAGCCAAGTGTCTTCCACACGTCAGGCCCGGAGCTCATGGCTGGTGGGTCCTAAGCCTCCCTAGCACTCAGAGCCCTCCTGTTCCTGCGTGCGGGCGCGTTTCAGTGCCATTCTTGACACGATTGGGCCAAAGCAGCATTACTCGTTGGCTGACAGATGTGGTGCAGAAATGGAAAGTGGGGTTGAGAGGAAGGCCCTGGACTAAGCAGGCACCAGAGACAAAGAAAGGAGGTCAGAGGTGAAGTGAGTGGTGAAAAGTGGGGAAAAAATGGTGACGAGTGCTAAGGACAAAACGGCTTCCCCGGAGGGGGAACAAGGCGAAGGGCCTGACCCTGCTCCTCTGCGGTAGTTTATGCCAAAGCCACCCTTTTCCAAGAGTGTGCGTGCGCATGCATGCGCATGTGCGTGAATGTGCGTGTCCTGCGTGCGTGTGGGTGTGCGTGTGTGTGGGTGTGTGCGCGTGCACGCACATGTGCATGCATGTGCGTGTCTTGCGTGCATATGGGTGTGTGTGTATGTGTGTGGGTGGGTGTGCACGTGTGCGTGTGTGTGTGTGCGTGCATGTGCATGTGGGTGTGCATGTATGTGTGTGGGTGTGTGCACGTGTACGTGTGTGTGTGCATGCATGTACGTGTGGGTGTGCATGTGTGCATGCATGTGCGTGCCCTGCGTGCGTGTGGGTGTGCGTGTGTGTGGGTGTGTGCGCGTGCACGCACATGTGCATGCATGTGCGTGTCCTGCGTGCATGTGGGTGTGCGTGTATGTGTGTGGGTGTGTGTGCACGTGTGCGTGTGTGGATGTGCATGCATGTGCATGTGGGTGTGCGTGTGTGCATGCATGTGTGTGTCCTGCGTGTGTGTGTGCACGTGCACACGCGTGCGTGCATGTGCATGTGTGCGTGCATATGTGTGTGTGTGTCATGAGCAAGGGCCACCCTCATAGGCACAGGGCAAACCCCGGGATGGAGGCCCAGGTCTGGGTCGGCCCTGACCGTGTGTAGTCCCTCGAGATCATTCACCCTCATCTGTAGAATAAGTTAGACTCCGAGAGGGTCTGACTCCCATTCCAGCTCTGCCATGAGGCCGCTGTTCTGTGAACTAGAAAAAGGGGGTGCCTGTTCAGGGTCCTCCCTGCTCCTTCCTGCCTGAGTGTGACAAAACGTAACCACTTTATTAGTGCTTCCTTCTGAGGATAAAACAGGAGTTGACTCTGACTCATTTAAGGAAGATCTGAAGCAAGAAAGAAACGATCAGACAATGGAAACTCGAGCATCCAGACCAGGGGTCCCTAACCTGGGGTCACAGCCCCCAAGGAGTCACGCACGGAACTCAGAAGATCTGTGAACTTAGGTAGAAAAAACGATTGCATCTTCATTCTCACTAACTTTGAACTGAATTTTAACATGTTCTTCTCTTCAACTGTAGGCCACAAACACAGAAGTATTAATAGTACCTGTGTCTTTGTCACCAGGAGAAATTGCAAATGTTTTACTATCATACCACTGTTACTGCAAATAGTTCAAAGCATTTCTGCTCGTCATGATGAAATCATGGTCACCATCAGGCCTACAGCTAGACTGAGTTACTTGATGTATTAATAAAAAAGTATGTATGTTACTATGTCACAAATTTGTTTTTAATATAAATTTTGATGACTATATTTCAACATCATTTATCTCCTTTGTAATCATCCATATTTTATTTTATGCATTTAAAAACATTTTTCTGACCGGGAGTTGTGGGCTGCAAAGGGGTGCCTGGTACAAAAACAGCTAAAAACTCCTGAAGCAGAGTGAGGAGTCTTAGAGAAAAGTCTCAGTTTAGTGAGGGGTAGGGTCGTAAGTTCGGGCTAGCTGAAAGAGAGCACCTTAAACTGGACACATTTAAGAAAAAAAAAACGGTCAGAAAGAAGAAGACAGAAAAGCAGGAAGGGGCAGAGGAGGAGGAAGGGGAGCAGCCAACTAGAACAGGAAGAGAGTGGAGTCTCTGGGGCAGACGGACAACAGGACTAGGAGAGCAGGGCCACACCCCACTGAGGGTCACGGGAAGAGCTGGCTCCTCATCCCGACCCAGGCAGGCTCCATCCTGGGTCTCCGAGTTTCCCTAACCCACACACAGCACACGCCCGCTCTGCCACGTCTTCAGACCCTTGGGGTTTAAAAAAAAACAAAGACCACAGGTTCCCATCAGTCTTTAAAACTCGAGTCTCCACTCAAGTTACTTCGATCCCTACTGTCTAACTGGGTTTCCAAGGATCGCAAAACCTCTTGACTCTGCGAGTAAGTTGAAGAGGTCATTAAAGAGAAGACACCTTGCAATAGCATCAGAG